AAGCTTTGGTTGAGATTTCTTTGGGTCATTGTACTTATCAGAGAAGTTTTGATCCGTTTCAAGACAGAAAATGTTCTCTCGCAAGTTGCCGTTGTAACCGGGATTGCAAGGTAAATGAGAAGAAGGATGTGCACCTCTGAGAATGATCTCTGATAGATTGGACTGTTGTTGAAAATCTCACAGATTGTTTTAATGTATATTTGATAGGTTTACTCTCATCGTCGCACACGTCTTGGAGGCTTGTTAGCTGCCGAGTTAATGCTACAAAGTCAATATATCCGGCATACATTTCCCTCAACTCATCAGCACGAACAAAATATTGGGGAGGGGGCTCATGATAACCGAGCCCGGCTGAAATATATATATATATATTTTTTTTTTGGGGGGGGGGTGGTTCAATGATATCCGGGCCCCTCAAAAATATCGGGGGGCTCCGTGATGTTATCCGAGCCCCACACAAATATCGGGGGGCTCCGTGATTTTATCCGAGCCCCACCAAAAATACTTGAGGGGGGGGGGGGCTTATGATATCTGAGCCCCACCAACATATGGGGGGGGGGGGGGGGGCTCAATGATATCAGAGTCCCTCCAAAATATTTGGGGGTTTAAATGATATCCGAGATCTACCAAATATATTTTTGGGGTCAATGATAAGCGAGATCCGATGTCTGAGCCCCCCTCTCTCCTCCCTAAATAAATATTTATAAAATGTTTATATTTGAATGGTACGTCTGTAGATTATAGGTATACATGAGTTTCATGCCTAGAATATAATCATTGGGGAGGAGGGGGTTCATGATATCCGAGCCTCGCAATAAGTCTCGGGGGCGGCTCAATGATATCTGAGCCCCACTTAAAATATTGGGGGCTCAATGGTATCTTAGCCCCTAAGGACTCAATGATATCTAAGCCCCACCAAAAGATTGGGGGGCTCAATTAATGATATCTATAAGCCCCGCCAAAAATATTGGGGGGGGGGGGGAGGGGCTCAATGATCTCTGAGCCCCCCCCCCCACTATTTTTTTCCTGCGCCCCCCAATCCCCCTCCTCCCGATTCCTAAGCCTAATTACAGTTCAATGAAGTCTATTTGTTAAACTTAAAGGGATTGGGTAACTTTGTTTTTGGTTCTGAAACAAAAAATCCTGGAATGATAGTTAGGGCTAGTTCTGATCGGAAAACGACCCAAATATCGGAGTATGGCAAGCTGCCCCAGGGCCTTTTCCTATATACGGATCAGAGAAAAAATACTTTAAACATTTCGGGGGTTACTTTTATGACTTTCGGGGGCTCTTTTTGGCATTTCGGGGGCTAATTCACCCCGAGCCCCCGTGTATTTTTCCTCCTGATACGGATAAGTGAGTGCCCTGATGGGTCTACTTCTAACTCGTGTTTTTAGCCCTTCTTTCTTTACTTTTTCCTTTCCTTTCTTTTTTGTTTCCTTTCATTTCTTATTTTTTCAAAGAGGGGGGGGGGGGGCGGGTCCATCGCCCCCCCCCCCGTATATCCGCGCCTGAGTGACACCCACACAACTAACCTTATTTATTACCGAACAAAAAAATGGGGAAAGAGCCCCTCGACACCATAGGTGTAAGCATTCAGCCAGTTCCTACTCCCCCCCCCCCCCCACCAATATAAACTTTAAAAGTGATTATTTTTTTCTAATTTGATACCAGTGATATACAGATGTTGCTGAATACTTTTTATGCGTTTGTTGGAGAATGACATATATCACAATTTACAGTCAGGCAAAAAATGTGCCTATTTACTATTTAGAGGCCGACATGTCAGGTCCCGCGGAACGGCGGGCTTGGGGGTTCAAGCCCCCCCCCCCTCCCAACCCCACACTTTTGAAAAAGTATATTAAAGAGAATTAAATAGAAAGAAATAGAAAAGAAAGTATGCTCATGTAACCGTAATTAAATGCCCATACCCCTGAGCTAATTCCGGAGGCTCTGCCCCCTGGACCCCATCTTGGGCCCTAAGGCTGGCCCCTGGATGCTAATCTGACCTTAATTGTAATGCCTAAAACCCCTGCGCTTACGGGGGCTCCGCCCCTTGGACCATACGCCAATTAGTGACCTGCCAGTGTCATGGATATGGTATTAAAATATGCTCATCTGACCGTAAGTACGAAGCCACGTACAATCGATTACAACAGTAATTGTGGGGCCAATATCACGAGTATGCCTTCATATAATAAATGTTTTAAAGAAAATATTCACTTCTACTTTCAAAAGGACTGGCCCATTTGCTTTAAAAAATTGTAGAGAGTTATTATTATGTAATTTCTAGAAAAAATGAGTCTAAATACATTGATTTGCCGAGTTTCTTCCTTTTTATCAAATATACACGTAAAACAATGGGGGGGACAGACTGCGCGGATAGCAATCCGCACGGATCGTCCCTCGGACGATCCGTGCGAGTCACGGACGATCCGTGCGAGCAGAAAACCCGCATATTATGTCCGACGGACAAACGAAACTGGTAGGACAAACGGCGCGGTCACACCGGTCGAAACAAGTTATTCATAATTGCAACCCCTTCAACCATTTGAACATCACAAGATTCGGAGCAGTTACAGATATTAAACACAAATATTGGTATTTATTTTGCAATTTGCTGTTGAATATGAGAGCAGAAATCAGCGCAACGAGCGTGAACATACATACACATGTACACACAAAACCCATCGACAAAACAATTTCAGTATAGTCCGGTAGAAGTTTTTCAGACCCGGAAAAGGTGTTAAGTACCAGGTGTTTTTTGTTGATTCGTTTTCTAGATGGGTTTGGAGGTAAATTCAGCTTGGTTGCCATCTTGGCAACCTTGGGCAATTCTATTTATAAGCCTTATTAGCATAATCATCAAATTAGCATAAGTGCAATCTTAATCCGGGAAGCCTAAAAACATGGATGATACCACTTTTCAAGATTTTTTTATGACGAGGATTTCATTTATGTCACCGGTTTCTATATTTAAGTAATGCAATTGTCTTAAATAGCATAATTAGCATATTAACCTAATTAGAATATGTACATTATATGGACTTCATTCTTATGAAATAAACAGCCTGAAAATGGTGCAATGCAATATTGTAAATCACTTTTTTAAGGCAACACATTAATTAACACATAAGAAGATATTCCATGTAGATATAGTACAATAAGCCTAGTTAACATAATAGTAAATTTGCATATTTGCATTTATTGATATAGGCCTAGGTCTATTTTTATCCAGAAAAAATTGTAATGACAATTTTAATGTGATTTTTTTTTAAATGACAACCCATATTTATTTCAGAGGTTGATCACGTTGAACGCAAACTAATTAGCCTAACTAGCATAATTAACGTAATTGGCATTTTAAACAGGCCATTGCTTAATGGCCTTGTGGATTTCTGTAGGTTTATCCAAAATAGGTATTCATTTTTAATTTCCCACTGTAACGGTGATACGAGCAGAATTAACAGTCATGACAGAGACCAGTCAGTTATTAAAGATAAAGAGAAATGGTTTGGGACGACTAAAATATGGTTATGGTGGCAAATATATTTATAATGTTGTTCTTTTCTTCTTTGAGTTTAAGTATTGGGATATAATTAAGAGAGAAGCAATCATGAATAGTATGAACAATAAGAGGCAACTTTCTGCACTCCTCTCAACATTTGACTATGGAGAGCGAACAATCGTTGACAGTCAGAATGATAGCATCTATGGACATGAGGAAGCAGATGTCCCAGTCTTTTCTCTTATCGTGTCCCTACACAAGTGCCGTCCAGTGCTCGAAACAGGCTCTGGCCCGGCATTTCACGGCCTCTGTCATGACTGTTTTTTCTGCTCTTATCACTGTTACAGTGGGAAATTAAATATGAATACCTATGTATTCTGTCTTTTCAGACAGAAAATCACAATTCCTTTAGGCAATTGCCTGATTAATATGCTAATTAGGTTAATTATGCTAGCAACGTGATTAACCTCTGAGATAAATATTGGTTGTCATAACAAAAATCACATTAAAATTGTCATTCCAAATTTTTCTGGATAAACTAGACCTATATCAATAAATGCAAATATGCAAATTTACTTATGTTAATCGTGCTAATTGTATTACATCTAGATGGAATATCTTCTCGTGAATTAATGTATTGTCTTTAAAAAGAGATTTACAATGTTGAATTGACCCCTTTTCAGGCTCATGAGTATGAAGACCATATGTTGTACATATTCTAATTAGCTCATTATGCTAATTATGCTATTTAAGACAATTGCATTACTTAAAAATAAGAACCGGTGTCATAAATGACTTCCTCGTCATAAAAAACTCTTGAAGTGGTGTTACCCATGTGTTTAGGCTTCCCGGATTACGATAAGCAAAATATTTCATATTGCACATATGGTAATATATGCACATATGCTCTCCGCTAGCGGTTTCATTGGAATTAATCGAGAAATTTCCCTCACTAGCGTGAAGAAAAAATATACGCGTACCGCTTAGGCATCGCTGGCTATATAGAGGGCGTAAATAGCTATAAGTAGTGCAGTCCTGTTGCAAGCTTTTGAAAGCTCATAACTAATGCCTGGATTACATTAAGCCTCCGATTAGTCTACGGAGCCCGTATCCTGCCCGTATCCCCTTTTTCGTGCGGGCTCCGTGCGGAGGCAGGCGGCGGCTGTGAGATTTTCGTACGGATTCACGGGCTACGCAATATCTACGATTATGTTTCGCGAGAAGTTATACAAGTTGAAAAAATCGTAAGCCCGTAGCACGTAGACATGTCGTAGGTGGCATTGCGCAATCCCCGCAAGGGCATCGCGCGGAGGTCTCGCGCTGATCGTGCCGAAGGCGCAATTTGAAATTTAACACAATTTACCGGGAGCACCGGTAAATTTTTATATTCAATTTTTCTCGAAAGCAGTAGTGTTTTAGGAGCTAATTTCTTTAGTGCTTAACATACATCCATAGGGGCATCCAAATATACCACAATCGTAAAGAATCACTATCCAACCAATTTTCAAAATTTACCAAAACTTTGTAATACCTTTAATGCCATTTTCGGGATAATCCCCAAGCGAGATTGGGATAAGAAAATATATACGATTAATTAGGCCGAATTAAGTAACATTACAATGAAAAGAACAACTAAAACACAAGCACTAAGAAGCAACAACATCCCCAAAATCTAATTATTTGGGGCACGTCTAAGTTGTCATATAGATACATTTTTTTGATATTAAGAGAACAGCTCCGATTGGAAATGCACGTTTTAAAAAGGTCAGAATCACAGGAAAGAGGTGCTGAATTGCTAATAATACGAATGTCACCTTTTTAACATTCTAAAACTCGGTCTAGGAGGCAACGGGCACTTTGAGCCCATAGGTAGAACACAACATTATGTATGAAAAAAAATCGTTGTACGATACAAAGTTAAAAGTACTTGATTCGGTAATGTACATTTCAGACGACTTGTTGCACCAATTATTGTTGTAGACATCTCAAACCAACAATATATTTGTGTGCTCTCTAGGTAAAGTTTCGTGAATAAAGGCATCAACAATTTATTTTAATGGCTGAATGTCATTGTTTTCCACGTATCTTTTCATCCCCTTTTCATTTATCCTTTTATTTTTTATTGAAATCTACAAAACACGTTTCTTCTTTGATTTTGTACCATATGTTTTTGGTAGACGATTTAAAAATAGACTTTAATTCAACATTTAATGAATGGTTAATTTAAGTGATATCTTTTACAAAGATGGACAAGATTTTGCGACCTGTAAATATAACACAAACAATTATGTGGCTTACATATTGCAAGTCATTAATGAAAACAAGGAACTACAGCGGTCCCACTACCGATCCTTGGGAAACTCCTATATTTATATCACACATATTTCATTTATTTTATTTATTATTGTATACAAATACAAAATGTTTGCTGTCATTGAAATCATTTTAAAACCGTTTTAGTGTTATTCCATGGATATCGTGACGATAAATCTCGTCGATAGATTTTGTTGTGATTAATATAATTGAATACTTAAAAAATATCACCAAAAAAAAATATTTAGTCTCATAAACATTGATATCGTAATAGCAAATTCAAGAGGAGCCATATTCGTCGTATTACCGTGTCTAAAACCAAACTGTAGAAACCATAGGTTATTATTTTTTCGGTACGTAAGACATTTATATAATGAGCACCATTTTTTTCTCCAAATAAATTCTGCAATTATAGTTTAAAATGTTTCTATTTTTTAAGGCAAGACCTAAATGTATCTCATTTTTCGTGAATTTGACCAGCTTCAGATTTCTTGAATTTTTTTTCAGGAAACACACGTTCTTCCATAGACAAGAGTATTGTAAATTCCATATCAATATGAGTGCACAATCATTGCATTATACTGTCGTTGTATGGTATATATATATAAGCCATAGAGAAAATAGAAGTGTAGTAAATTAAAATAGTTATGTTATAAGAAAGAAAGAACATGTTTCTCATGATATAAATTGTCTTGTGGAACATTAATGAACTCATTTTTTTAACAGGGAACAAGCTAGCAATACTTTTGCCTCTTATTTCTAGTTTAAACGCTCGTTTAGAAGCCGAGTTTAGAATTTATTCAGAATATGTATCAATTGAACCTTACATCAAAAGTTTAATGAAATAGTAAATATAAATAACATTTTTATTTTACCTCTGCTTTTTAACAGATTCTTCTGTGATGTCTAGATCAATTGTATTCATTTGTCGTTGTAAATAACAACAACTTCTTTTTTTTTTTAAATCAGGGTTAATACTTGTCGTAAAATTACTTGTTGTCGGTCTTGTTAGCCGTTGGGTTACTGCAACGTGAATTGGTGGATCAAGGATTTTCTGCCACAGGATGGAGGGAAAGTCCGAAAGTTCTACGACAAACAAACACAAATTTCACCTGGATTTTGATGAGCTGTTTTGCTACGAAATTATCTGACAAATCAATTAGCTCAGCCAATGCTTCATCTTTTCTTCTTCCAGTTTATTTTTTCCATTTTATTTTTCCTTTTCTGTTCATTCCTCTTCTCTATCCAACCATTTTCATGTCATATATGGGTCAGGGGGGGGGGGGGTCGGGTCCTAGTAGAACCACTGCTATTTTTATCGTTTGAAGCAGTTTCACCTTAAACCTGCTATGGATTTACTCCCATGGACCCCATGAACCGCCATGCAAGGCTGGATCCGCTTCCAAATCCGGATCTGGATACCGCACGGGAACCGAACCTTTGTAATACTCCTCTAATCTCTGAAGAAACTCATCGACAACATCCGGATACTTTCCTGAAAGATCGGTTCGCTCCAGAGGATCGGCGGTTATGTTGAAGAGCCATACCTTTTGGTTCGGTTTCTCTATCGGATATATCGTATGGAGTCCGGACTCGGCTGGCGGCTGCCACACATCGGATGCCGATGCTGTTGTCACAAAGAGAGGATGGGATGGAGAAATAACGTTTTTTTACGTAAATGACAACGACGACAAAATTTGCTGTAGTACTAGTGATACTAGTGGTAGTTGTAGCAGTACTAGTGTTGAAAGTTTCAGTAGTAGTAGTAGTAGTAGAAGTAGTAGTCGTAGTCGTAGTAGTATTAATAGTAGAATTGGAAGTATCTTTACCAGTACTGCTACAAGAAGTAGTCGTAGTTTATCTGTGATATTGCGAACATGAGCGAATAACTTTGAGATAATTTGGCACTCACCGTCTGGCCCTGTCTTTATTTTCCAGTCTCCGACGCGTAGCGCAGCTCTTATTGACGTATCGAATTTGTCTTCCAAAACTCGCGCCAAAAATCGCCACAGAAAATCCTCGCCATCAAAGTAACTCGGTAGAATCTCGGGAGCGATGTAAAGCGAGTCGATATTGTGCAAGATTTCCTTTCGAGGGGACGAGGCTGTACCACTGAATAATTACAAATGCGAAAGTAAATAAAAACGCGATTTCAATATCCTTGAGTTTCACCTATTGACATCGGCAAAAATCCCTTCGCGCATTGAGTCCATGTTTAAAACACAACCACATTGCGTTTGACGCCAGGTTTTTTTAATGGGAAAATAGGCTTCCAAATCTTTAAATAAGCAACAAATTGAGAAATTTCACAATCAATGTTTCTCGATCGAAATTTGCCCTTAGTTCAACTTTTCTATCAAAAATTTACCCAAATATACTTTTTTCATTTGAACAATGTAGCATTGAAAGAAAAATATTGTTAGTTAGAAAAACAATATTTGATTAATTGAGTCCCAAAGGAAAGTTCTGTCTCGGAAGAGAAGAATTTACCAAAATACGTAAAGTTTTTAATAATACAAAAAAAGTTCCCCAAAATGGAGTTGCGCTTTAAAGATACTCTGTCCCTTTTGCAGCCATTATGAATATGTCTGGTATGTCCTATCTGTGAAATTTAAACGTTAGCAGTGTCCTAATATTCAAATTATGCAAGGAAACCCGTTTACTTGCTAGAATTCACTGTTACTTGAGTGACTGACTGGCTTTTTTTCTCTTCTTCTTTGGTAAAAACATACATAAACAGAGCTGTAAAGGGTACATGAGCATCTGTCTACATCAATAACCCACTTCTTGTAATGGCCAAAATTAAACTGCTTGAATCTTTGTGCAGCACAAAACGTACGACCATTCTGTACAATGGTCTGAAAATCAGACTATTACGTACTGTATTGTTATCACTTAGTCGATTCGACAACTAATAGTCATTATTTTCCCACTTAAAGTAGATATTCATTGATTTAAAAAAAACTAACTTTATTTTCATTATTGCAAGTTCAAACTTTGATTCGACAAGGTTATCACAATTCAATGCTAGGAAACATTCGAAGTTATGATTATCATAAATTACAAAACGCTTAAATACAGCCCCGGCATAGCACCCGAAGAGCTCTCCGAACGCTGCTGAGATGTGTGAGATCACAGTATGGACATGACTTGTACAAGCAGACGATGTCCCATGACATCTCACACATTTTCAGTGCCTGTGTTTTCATCTTCTCTTGAGGTCTTTCTCTTACTTCACTACCGTCAGGCTAAATGTATAATCTATTGCCTCACTCTAAACCCCGCACATGGTTTATTTTGATGACAAATGCAGCGATATTAAAATAAAGGAATCTGTCGCTTGTAAGCAAAATAAGACGTCGTTGTATATTCAGCTGCACACTACGCGGTATGTTCGGCGTTTCAAGAGGGAACAAATGCCGTCCTTAATATCATTCCGGGGGTTTTTCAATTCGAAAGTCTGGTTTCTTTGATTGTTAATTAACCCCTATCCTGAGTATTTACAAGCAAACGATTTTAGTTATCAGAATGGGGCCATATTCCCTTTTGAATGGTTTGACATTTATTACATTTATATACACTAAACTCATTATAATTTGAGAAATAATAGCTTTGCAATTATGTTCATTCTCTATGGGATGTCGTCTGCTTGGGCAGTGTTGGTCCATATAGTAACGTCATTAAAACATCGTTATTTTTCCGGCGAATCTCTCGTATATCCCAGCTGCTATGGAGGTGGTTGTATTTGTATTTTTATAAATCACCCGATATGTAGTTGACCTAAAGCTTGTATGATGGCCATCCGTTAGCTTACCAGTTTCTAGTGATACATTAGTTGACATATTTGTGATCTTCTTTGAATTTCACCTTTAAAGACATTTTCAAGCCCACTTTTTGGGAAGTTCTAAATCAGTATCATCTTTCAAATGCCATTGGAATTTAACCTTTTCAGTTTTTGGGGCCTGCAAATAGGACATAGTACCATTAATGAAAAAAGTACATAATAGAAGATTCTTATACCTTTAAACATCCCTGATATGAGTTCAAATATAACGATTCGCTAGATTCAAAAAGAAGTAGAGGGAAAGGGAGAGTTCCTGGTGGCTAGGGTACCTGATAGAGCTCCAGACATTGTAGCCGTCTAAGGGTTTAGTTCCATTCAACGCTCCACCTGCAATGCCTGCTACAATAGTCGGTAGCCAGTCGCTCACATGAATCAATTCATGATTGACCGTTCCTTTGACTGACGTTGGTAGAAGAGGGCTGTGTACGAACCCCACTCCATGGATCCCTCCCTCCCAGAGGGATCCTTTGCTTCCCCGAAGTGGCCAATTGTTGGCACCGCTTTGGATTGGACCCCCGTTATCTGTATAAGAAAAAGAAGGAAACCTAAATTGAATTCTATAATAATAAGTGATCAAATGTGCATTCAAAAACTGCAAAACACTACATTACCCATACCATCCTGCTAAAATTCTCGCTACCGCATCTACGGTATTCGGCCATAGAGGGCAGTACCGACCATTGGTACATTCGGCAAAGGCTCTTCCGTTTCCAATGCAAATACAATGGCTCGAGAACTGGGAAGAAATAATAATTTCAGAACCAATAAACTATAAGTACCAGATTATGATGGTGCCTACATAGATCTCATTAAACCATCGGGGAAGTTCATAAAACCTGAAAAATAAATTAGTAAAATAAGGAATTAGTTGACATTGCGGTACATTCTCTATGGAAGCCGGGAAAAAAAAAAACATTGTCTTATCGTCTTCCCCAGTATTGTATCTTCGCATGTGTTACTTGTACAATGTGGCAGGAATGTCGCCATCTACTGTCGAAAATTGTGTTTACATTATGCTCAATTATTGTCCAGCCATTTTGTAAAGGTCGTTTACCTGTACCTTACACAGTGGACATGTTTAAAGTGTATAAAATAAGTCCTGTCCATCTTCATAACAGGATTTTATGGCTTAACTAATCACTTGAAGTTCTTCAAATTAACAACAAATGATTTTCCATTATTGTTACATTGCTGCAATGTAGTGTGCTGTCTCACAAAGCTATACATGGCTATGAACCTTCCTGAAAAGCTACGAAAATTACAAATTATGCTCGAAAAAATTACTTTGAACCTCCCTTTTTGTTTCCTTTGTTTGAAGGATGTTAAAGTTTATTTTTTTTGTTTTAATTTAAATCATGGTCACTCAACCTAAATAGATTTAGTAGACATGTACATATGAACAGAAATGCCATTTCTACTTATGCATCTGGTATTTCTTCCCTTGTTTTGTTCCCCCTTTCCCTTTAAAGGTTTGTTCTTAGTTGCATCTTTTTTCATTGATGATTTTTATTTTATTATGATTATTATTATTTTATTATTTATTTATTTTTTTTATTTTTTTATTTTATTTTATTTTATTTTTTTTGGGGGGGGGAGGGGAGAGAGCTGTCTCGATAGGGTTACATATAAATATAAATACGTGCATTTCCTTGCCTGTTGAGAATATGATGATGGTATTATCGTAAAGACCAGCTTCCTTTAGAGCTCTTGTGACGTTTCCTACACCTTCATCCATGCAAGATACCATTCCGGCATAGGTACGTCTGTTTTTGTCTGTGATGTTCATGTATGGGTCCATGTAGCTGTCAGGTACTTCCAAAGGAAAGTGTACAGCTTGATATGCAAGGTATATGAAGAGTGGCTTTAAGGTACAAATACAAAAGAAAAAATGAAAATAATGCTCAAATAATCCATAGAAATATGTTTCATGAAAGGTGGCTAAGCTCTGAGGTGGGGAAACTTTTCTACTACCTACAGTAATTAATGTACATGAACAATGGCTTTAAGGTACAAATACAAAAGGATACAATGAAAAAGAACGAATACGATTAATGCTCAAATAATCCGTAGAAACACTTTCCCTGCAAACTGGCTGAGCTCGAAGACGTGAAGATTTTCTTATCCAACTAAAGTAAGTCAGATACAGAAAGAGTGCCCTTAAAGCCCCACTGTCCTACTTGTAGCTACTTACTACCTCTATATAGAAAACTTCCCCAATCGGTGCCTGTTGGTCCCCCATGATCCCCTTTTTCTTATGTTAGTTGAGAGCTGAGTTAATGAGATAGCCACCTGTCAGTGACCTCGCTGTGTGGTCTTATCCCTTCTGGCCCAGTAGTGTTGACGGTCTTTATGAGTTGCCTTTAAATAAAGTGTGCCAAACACCATTTAACTATTTTGTGTTTAGAAAGCATATATAAAACCAACCTCTAAAAAAAATCACTCTTAATCTATGGGCTGGGAGAATTTTGAAAAAAAGGAAAAATATGTGCATTTAATTAGCAATGAAATAAAAATAATGATGCAAACGAGTAAAATTTAAAAAATAAAAATGAAAACAAAAATATTATTTTGGGAACGAGCTCTTCAAAAACTGTACACGTAAACGTACCTTTGTCTTGTCATGCCTCTCTATGACATCAATTGTTTTATTCGTGAAGAGATGGGTGGAATACTGTCCTTCGTACTGAAAGACCGGTGTCTTGTTGGCGTGTAGGTCGTGTCCTGATAGGGTCTTGGAACCGACATTGTAGGAGCGCATGTGCGTGTAATAGTCTTCAGCTCCTATCAGGTATCCTGATAAAAAAACGAAGAACAAAATGTTCAGTGAGAATACAGTGAAACCTCACTATGGACATGACGGACAAAATATACAGTTCCTCATTCTACCCTCAACAATTGCTGTGGTAGACAAAGGAACATCCCTTCACTGCTATGATGTAAAAATGTGTAGAACAGGTGTCAAATGCATATTCACCTGTGCTACTTATTTTTACATAATAACAGTGAAGGGATGTTCCTTTGTATACCACAGCAATTGTTGAGGGTAGAATGATGAACTGTATATCTTGTCTGCTTTCTTTGTCCGTCATATTCATAGTGCCTGTACATAAAAATCGTTAACGGGAGACACGAAAAGTGATCTTCCCAGGCAGGTGATCTTTATGTACAGTTTCCTTTAGCATAGGCCTATGTTTTTATATATGTTTTCATATATGTTTACATAATTAATTACTTTCGAGGGTTGCAGAAAATATGGTCTGTATAGACAGGTGGTCTGTCTATACAGGTTGCTGCTAAAGCACGTTTGACTCTAGATCTTACTTATTATTATACCATTGCAATGATTATTAGTGTTAGTATTATAATTTAATTTGAGTATGACTATTATTGTTTTTATAGTATTATTATTATTGTTAGTATTGTTAACATTATTATTATTACTTTAATCATTATTATTCTTGTTTTTGCCATTATTTTTATTAACCATGTTATTTTTATCACAATAATTAACAACACTATATAATAATAACAATCATTATATCTAATATTTGTGATATTATTACTATCCTTATTATTTGTATTATTATCATCAATATTATTGTTATAAATATTATTATTATTTTCATTATTTTTTTTTATAGAAATTATCAATAGTATTATCATTTTATTGTATTTTCTGTTGTTATTGTCATTATTACTATCAACATTTTAGTAGTAGTGGTACATTTATTACTCGTTAAAAAATGCTCATTAAAATAAGCCCTCACCAAAGTAAGAATCGAAGCCCCTCTCAGTTGGCAAGCAAGCATCCAAGTAAAAGCCAATATGCCATTTACCGACCATGTTAGTGGCGTAGCCATTCTCCTTGAGTTTCTGCGGGAGCGTGACTTCATCCAACGGGAGGCAGTTCGGCTGGGGAGGTCTGATCACGCCGTGTTGGAGACCCGTGTGGATCTGGTAAAGAATATATCACTATGATGATGTGGATACATTATAGAGAAACTTTGTCCCTCCTCCTCGTTGATAATCATTATATGAACAGCTCGTTTCCTAAAATGCTACTGTGTTTATTAATAATTTAAGGGTGTCTCATGACTCCGTGTTCGATACCTGTGTGGATTTAGTATACAAATATACACTGTATTGAGAGGTTCTGGGTTAAAACTATGTGCAAGAGGTGACTCCAATAGTACTATTTGCTGAGAGGCGCTGCCTCGAAGCAAATGGTACTTTTGCCCCACCCCCATCCCGATCCGCAACTTGTTGGCGGGAAAATTGCAACTGATATCCCCCTTCTTTTATTTACTTCTTTCTCAATTTCCTTCCCTTTATTTCCTCTTTAGTGACTGGTCCCTCAGAAACTAGTGCTAAGCCAGTCACAGAGAATTCATGATTTCAACTGATGCCTGTCAGTGCATTGTAAATTTGATTTTTCTTCAAATTTCATTTAAAAATCTTTTCATATTGATAAATATGGTGCATTGGCGTATGGGCTATGGTTGGAGCATTGGATGCGTTGAACAGCGTTGGTGTATTATGACGATTTATCATATTCATATTCTGAATATCTTCAGCGAATTGAATAGTATTGAAAATGATGCAATTCATAGTTGTACTCGATAATTCTCACTTAACATATTCTCTCCCTCTCTCTCTCTCTCTCTCTCTCTTCCTGTCTTGCATAAAGAAAAAATGAAAATAATATTTTGCCTTGATTAAGAAAAATTGAAATTTTATCAGTATTAAACAGGGAGAAGGAAAGGGGAGGAAATTAATCAAAACAAACATTGAAGAATCCAATTCAGTGTTCTTTCGTGTTTCATAAGAATGAAAGTACATTAAAAGGTGAAATGCTAAATTGAAGAGCGATGATAAATCAATTCTTTGACGTTGATAAAAAATAATAAAACAATATGGTCTGAAGGTCATATATCTTCGAATATTAGACAGTTACATCCACCATCGTGTTGTTGAACACTATTTGCAATTTAATTTTAATGCGGAGATCTGTCGGTTACGAGCAGAAGGTCATTTCAGGCATCTATATTCTATAATACTATCAACAGATATCTGGATAGAGACACCTCGTCACATCAAGCTACGAGAAAGTATATCATCATCTCACAGAATTCTACTCGAACACCGCATCGAAATTCTTTTCACATTTGTTTTCTTCTTCCTCTTTTTTGGTCCCTTTTAGCTCTATTTTTTCCCTTTTCCTTCCTTCTCTCTCTTTTTTAGCGGGGGCGGGGGGAGGCAACAGCCTGGGAGGCAAGGCCCTTTCGCACCCCCCGATCTCCTTCTTCCCCCTTTTATTTTCTTCTTCCTCTTCTTTCTTTCCCTTTCTCTCCTCTTTCCCTTTCCCTTCTTTTCCTTCTCTCTCTCTCTCTCTTTTGCGGAAGGGGGGGGGGGCAAGGCCAGCTCACTAGTATATAGTATGCACAGTGCCTTAAAATGACGTCACACGTTGCAGTCAAAGCTGTCGACGTGTAAATCTAAAAGTCCCTGATATGATTGCAGGGCCGTCAGGGAGAACAGTATGAATACTGATGAGGCTACCCTGGATAAACAAGACATATTAATATTATTATTATTATTATTATTATTATTATTTTTATTATTATTATTATTATTATTATTATTATTATTATTATTACCTTAACTGCGACTTGCGGGCAATTTCTATGCTTCGAAACTGTGGCTTACGGGGAATGTCTAGTTAGGGGGAATAATTACCTTGCCTGCAACGTTTTGCATAGCAGTTTTGGTACGATCCCAGCTGTTTAGAGACTCAATCAAGGCTATAAACGGGACTTTATCACCTACTGAAATCGACATTTAGATTGAATCATAATCTCTCCATGACAGGGGTGTTAAACCCTTGGGAGAATTGGCATCGTTATATCTTGCGTCGTCTAAAAGTCAGCTCTAAGGGGAAGAGACAAATCTAGCGAATCTACCTGAACTTGGGATTATATCTTTATTATCTCTTTACTAACATATTTTGGGACTCTTGTTTTTCCTATCTGGAGATTTTTATCTCATTCGGTGGATTTTTTCAGTTTTTCGAAAATTTTACCCCTGTAAATTGACCAGTTTAGAGCTCCAGGAAATTATGATTATTCGTGCGTTTTCGGACGATCGAACATGCGCGCGCGTCTGGATATCGATAGGCCTAAGCTATCGTACCGTACGAAATTCAATAAACAGCGCTGACGAAAAATAGCGATAATATTTGTTTTGACCAGATAAAACCTTCGTGCTTAGTAAAATGAAGCATATTTAGTGGAAAGTTTAGCGGAATTTTGAAATCCGGTGTTTCATTCTGCCCTGGGTAAGTAGTTTTCATGTGTAAATCATGCATATGATTCAAATAAAGATTCGAATTTTGAGTAGTTTCGGACTTTCCGTGCGGCTACGAATAGACGCATAGCTTAGCTTAGTCCCATACACTTAATTTTATGTTGTAACAAGATATCTTGCACAGGAAAAATTGAAAGCCAGATCACACAAGGGACCATTACCATTCGGCCAATGGTAACTAGATCTAGAGTCTAGTTGCCTTCTGATCATTGGAAATTTTCTTGAAAATTATGATCCATCTCTTTTTGTTCTCACTAGGCTTTTGACGAGTACCAGCATAGACGTAGACGTAGACACTAGATTCTAGGCTAATTCAAAATAATATTCATGTTGAAACAGTTCTAAATATTCATAAGTCTAGTTAGATCTAGATAGATGACTTAGCAATCTCATTTGAATAGGCCTAGATCTAGAGTCTAGGCCTAGACTCTAGATCTAGTCTATTAACAAAACATTTAATCACAAAGTTTACTCAAGCTAAAGTTCATAAATGAACTTTTGTAAAACACAACTCTATATTCGATGCATCCATAGAGTAAAGTACCCGGTAATCGGTCAGCTCCGGTTTTCGGCCAATTGGTTGGATACATGGTAAAATCACTTTAAAATACATCGCATAATAGCATAACACATATCCCACACATACCATACCATGCCAGTGTCACTGAAGAACCACATTTGCAATGAAAAATATATCCTAAAATATCACATTTTAGCGATGTAATCGGCGGTCCCGCTACCCAAATCTGAAAAATCGAGTTTCTTACGCGTGTATGTAAGAAATATGGGTACCATAAAATGAGCTTTATTTCAAGTATTTTTCAGATATAGAGCCCGATTTTGTGCTGGTCGCAAGCTCAAAAGTATCTCATCGCATGTATTAAATCAATGCAGCCGCACACCGCGACGCACACACGATATGTCTGTCTAATTCAGATTCCAACTTCCGATCACCGCTGTGCCTGTATTCGGCCAGGCGAGCACCCGCGAGCTCCGGCGTGGGATACCTGCTCCGCCCGCTTGTGCTATACATCAGCGCAGAAACGCACGGCGCGCGCGAGCGCTTCCTATTGACTTTGTACATGCGGCCGTAAACTGAAACGCTCGGCCGATAACCGGCTCCAAAACAGTGAAAATTGAAATGAATATTGTCATGGCAATTCGTGATTTTTTTTTGGGATTCTTTTTTTGTTTAAATAATAATAATATTTGCTTCATGATTTGAACAAGAAATGATAATAAATAGGAAGTAAAGAGTCCAATAAATAGGATTTTGTCTTAAGTGGCCGAAAACCGGGTACTTTACTCTACATGCTAACTGTTCAGATTAAAGAGGAACATTCCTCTTTTTGGGAGAAGATAATTATCATTTTAATGCAGGTGTTCCTCTTCCTGTACACAAATTTGTCTGTAGGTAGCATTGAATAGGAGAGTTAGGATTGTTCCTCTTTTTTTGGAAAATAGCATAATTTGTACAGATTTATGATTTTCAAATGTTGGCATGTATGTGCATCTATAGATCTAGGTGGCGCTATGAGTAGATCTAGGTCTATATCTATAAAAATACACTAACGGTTTGTAAATGGTTCATATGAACCATTTACCTCGTAGATGTGAGCCAGATGGCAGACGGTAAAAAATTATGTAGAATCTATGTAGGCTAGACTAGATCTTCTAGACTAATGGGACAAAATTAATATGTTATTAATTAATTGTACTAGCACAGTTTAGCGGATAGCCACTCGGCGATCAAAAAGGATGTGACGTAACGTTGCTAAGGTAGATATTAATGCGCATGTAGCTAGTCTGGCCGAGGTACTGGACTGTATAATATGGGGCTTAACATGATCTAGTTAGCAGCCATAACAGCGTCGTCGGCGATTTGTAAAAAAATTGCATCAATGCCGAGGGGGGTCTGGGGGGTTTACCCCCTGATTTTAGGATTAAATCACTATAAAACTAGTCTAGCTAAGGCTAAGACCTATATTCAAGATACTGCTTACCTTTTTTTGATAATCCAAATCCGATTTGATGATCTAGATGGCTAAGAAAACCTAGGCTAGAGTCTACAGCTGTTAAAAATTCGCGTTTGTCTAGTCTACGTCTTGTGTATTATATATTGTGTGCATAAGCGCTCAGCGCTGCGTACGTGATAATGCATTGCACAGTTCACACACTTAACTACGCGCAAGAGCTAGCTAGTTCATGCTTGACATGCGCAGTGGCAGTGCATGTTTTTCAATACTTCAATAATTTCCAGCTAGATTCTTCTTCCAAGCTGACGTCATGAAAATAGTTCCGTATTTTTGTTTACTTTAGTTTTTGCCGATTATTTTGGCAGATCGACGGTTTTTTGCTCTAATTTTTAAAAACAACCTACAAGTAGGTTACTAAACTACTTTTTGACGGGGAACCCGATTTTCGACTTTTTGGGGCCCCAAAACGCTCTCTAGCGATTTCAGCCCTTCGGGCTGAAATCGCTTCTATATAGAGCCTTAGTAACGGAGGCCCCGCCTCCTACGTCACTCTAGATCTCATCTGCTAAACTGTACATTCCCCCTTAGTGGCAGTACTGTAATTAGATGAGAGATAGATCTAGAGATCTAGACTAGAATAGATCTACCGGTACGTAAAATATAAACCAGTCCATGCAAAAGGCAAAGGCAAAAGGCCAAAGCTATCTTAAATTTTCAAATTAATAAGATCATTCTGAGTTTTTCAAATGCAAAATTTAATGGCATGCTTCTGAATCTGAGTCTCTGAGGATGATCCAAACAACTACACAACGCAAGGTAAAGGTCACGACAAAGGACTATTTACCATTACCAGGCATTTGCTTCCTTTTCTGCTTTATTGGACTAGAAGTAGAATCACACAAGTTCTAGATCTAGTCTCTAGACCGATAAATTTGTCTCTTTCAGGAATCAGGGTCTTTCTTTAACAAATTCTGACATTTATGGCTGACCCATTCTAGAGACAGATCGCTACGTATGCCAGCGCTATGCGGGCCTACTGCCAGCCCGCGATCACGTTCACTGCCGAAACTTCGGGTACTGCAGGCAGCTTCCCGTTCGCTAGTTGACGCGAGTGGGACTCGTACACGAGTGGAAAATGACTAGATTTTCACCCAACTGGAAGCAGATTTATTTTTAGCTAAAATGCACCTTTTCCGGCCTGATTTTTTTCGAACAGGAGGCCCGCATAGCGCTGGCATACGTAGCGATCTGTCTCTAGAATGGGTCAGCCATTAATGTCAGAATTTGTTTAAAAAGACCCTGAAGGAGACAAATTTATCGGTCTTGAATCACACCTGCAACCAATACCATTCGCCCAACAGTAAAAATTTGCCTCTGGTCAATAAAACTTTGCCTCAAAATTACTACTTATCTGTAGAGTCTATTTGATTTCACTAATCCAAAATAATATTCTTATTAAATTAGTACCAAATAAACATAAGGTTGAAAAAACACGACTTGGCAATAACATTTGAATAGTAAAAAAAGGATTTTATCCAATAGTTCATTCAAGCTGAGTACTGTACAGTCCTCAGATAGTGCACAACTCCATATACAATGCAATACCCCCTTATATTGCACTTAGGGCTGCAGGTGTGACTAGAATCACAGTGGCAGCAACATTACAACTTCTAGTTTAAAGTAGGCGGACCGCCTCCGGCCCCTGCAGGCATGGGTCTCATTGCCTCCGGCCTCCCTCGTGAGACCGTCCAGGGGCCTGCCTCCTGAGACCTTTTTTCACTTTTCATCAATATTACGGCTAAAGTAATGGGGGAAAAAAAACGCATTTTGCCACAATGATATTTTAAAACTTTTATACCGTATATACCACACCTGCGACTAAAAAGGTTCGCAGCGTGGTAATCTTTTGGCTACTATTTTACTAAAAAAAACCCTGTATATTTGCATTTACTGCATAGGTTATAACTTGGTAACATAATGTACGTATTCAAGTCCTAAAAAGTACTCATATTAATATAATATTTCAAACTTACCAATGCTTTTATTGCTTTCTGCCGCTGAATTGGGTGCCTGATGAGGATAGAGTGTCCAGACTACCAGCAAAATTGGGGATAAAACCTAGACTACCTAATAATAAAGTACGATTCAATATCCTTTTCCATCACAATCTTTTCAGATTGAATCTCTTGTAACTTCTTTGGCATTTAATTAAAAATAAGATTGTTTTGGCATTCCAGCCAGTGATTTTGCTGAGGAGATTGACACATGCAGTCTCCCATAGAAAGAAATCTCCTAATCCTATGTATGATGGGGGGACCAAAAGCTACGCGGGTCTTTAAGCTACGCACTGCATACAGTAGCGCGTATTATATGGTGTGCGTAGCTTTAGGACCCGCGTAGCTTTTGGTACCCCCACCATATGGTGATGGTACCTTAAGCTACGTGGTACATTAAGCTACGCACTCCTTAATACGCGTTCTATGCGCTCAATGTTTGGGA